CACATTATTTCCAAAAAAAATTGGCATCCACCCAAATTCAGACAAAATATGGGTATCAGGTAAAGTGGTGACAAACTGTTCCTTCCAATACTTCACACACGAAATCTATAGACAAAATAGATGCCTTTTATAGAAAGCATAAATGTATAAAGTTGAAAGATTGATCACCGACAAGAGATGAAGTACTTCCATTGTCGCCACTCTGTGTCACCTCACACATTAGCGGCCTCCTCCGTGGTCTAGCGGATGGAGCGTCTGCCTGGGGAGCGGAAGGCTAGTGGTACTATCTCCGGCCGCGTCATACCACAGATGTTAAAAGATGGTACCTCTTGTTACCTTGGCTGGCTCTCGAATGATGAGGTTAACATTCTCTCTGAGTGTGGTATCCATGTTAAAACTGCAGCATGGTATGTCAGTGGGCTAGCACTATAAAACCGGCATAAGTCCGAACAAGCACACATATATATAAACAAAAAGGGAAACCAGCAACTTTCAAAACGGACAACCCATGATGTGACAACTGTTTCTGTGCCTCCTGAAGACACCATGTGATTGCTTAGCATGTATTTCAGAAACTGTATCTTTATTGACCAGTCCTTAGGATGGGCTTGCAATACAGACAATATTCCTGTGAAGCACCGTGTAAGGTACACCTGGACTGCCTCTTGAGAAGTGGTCCCCAGCAACATATGCTGGGGGTACGAGGCGAGTCAACGGATCGGGGAGTCAGACTCGGTGAGCATATCGCGTATTGGTAAAATGGTACTTCTAAGTCCGAGTGGTTTAACCTATTTAAATATGCGCGGAAAAATCTTTTCCGAAGCAATAAGAAATTTGGCTAAAAGCAGGGTCCATTGAACGATTCTGAACTCATAAGCATGTTTTTTTATGAATCACTGTCAATAGTTATTATACCACGTGTTCGCGAAAAGGTATCCTGCCCCACCGGTGGCTCCTGTCACAAACACATGCAAAGGCAAGTCACTTGTTCACCTGTATAAACACGGGAACAAGTCAAAATCGAAAATTGCATCGGACATCATGTTGGTCACTGACGCGTCAAATTAGGAAATGTCTACCATAAATCGTTTTTGAAAGTTTTACAAGGGCCTAGAATGTTATAACCCTGATCGAACAACCTTTGAGCAAGAATTGTAGGACAAACTTTGAAATCTTCGTTAGAAGAGTATCCTCGTGTGTAGCTATAAAGTTGTTAACTGTAGACACCAAACGCCAGATCAGCTGTCGTATATCTGGACTGAAAGGGCAAGTTGACTGTTGGAAAGTTGAAGTCTGTGACAAACTTCAGATTGAGGGACTGTACCCATGTATTTTTATGGCTCATGTGTGGTAAATCTATAATTCCCTTGGGTTTAAGTTACCGTTTATGCAATAACTAAATAATGACTTGGGTCTTTATTGTCTGTAACACATGTTCTTGAAGTGCTAACAACAGATTAAAATATGTTAACACACTTGGCTGACCACATATGATGAAAGATTCCTGATCGGAGGGTGGCCACTTGGATGCCCGACACATAATAGCTTTCTGCTAATTATACCAGGGTAGTATCTCTCTTCATTCGTCATCACTCGCCCCTTTCCGTAACCTGCAAGAAAACTTGTCCCCCTCTCGATGAATGTTATGTTCGAAAATACGACAAACCAATCGGAATGCGCGTATGATTTCAAGTTCTTTGTCACATAATCCCTCAGAAATAATTTTTGATTTTACTTATGTCTTGCATCTAAAAATATACCCAAGACACAGTGAAATGTGTTCAATCATACTGCATAATGCCGCACGTCCCGATGTCCTTTAAATTGCATCTGAAATATATATAATATATGGGGAAACATATGTGAACCATTAAGCAACGAGTTTTAGGTATGCCCGTTTGCGCTAAGACGGAACCTAGTTGTAAAAATGGCCACGAGAGGAGCACGAGTCGCTATTCGGCTTGTCCCGGAATAACACGAGTTGGTCACGAATGTATCAAAATCGCGTCCTCCGGAAGCGCCCGTAAAATCACAAATATCATCATCATCATCATCATCTCTCCCAAGTTGAAGATCAGCTTGGCCTATCGTATGTCTCCAGCACCAGATCAAAGGCCAAAATTGCTGTCCAGCTGTGAAGCTTGTGGTGTCGCAGGTGGTTTCAGCCGACGTCCTTGAAACCGAATTTGGCTCTATGACAATTGTATACCTGTTAGCACCGTGACACGCCGCGATATAACTGGAATACTGTTAAAAGCGGCGATAAACCCAACTCACTCACTCACTCACTCACTCAAGGACTTCCAATTATATGTTGCGGATAATTAACGATAATTGTGAAATAAATTGGGTCTCTCACATTCGTAAGTTATTATTTGTAAATGGTTTCTCATTTTTCTGGATCACTCAGGATTATGGTAATGTTAAAGCATTTTTAGCATGTTATCTTAGAGATGTAAAAAATATAGAGATGTAAAGATATAGAGTTGCAGAATTTGAATTTTAAATTTGTTTTGTGGTTTCAAAACTATAATGGGTGTTGAAAAGTATATAATATAATTATTTCCTTTTCAGGATTTATTAAGAGTATATTGTACATTTCTTTCTGCATCACATAAGCTGAAAGTGCAGTAGTACATGGTGATCCCAAAAAGTTTTTGTGTACAAACTGTAATAAACATTCTATTGATGATATACACACATACATACATACGCAAGCACGCACGCACGCACGCACGCACGCACGCACGCACGCACGCACACACACACACACATACATACATACATTCACACATATGTTTGTTTAAAAATAACGCACTTTATGCATTCTTGTATACGCAGCACTATGGGCCATGTAGCCCCAACTAAAAATAAACTTGTCACTTGTCACAGTTAAAGAACAAGTTAGTATATAATTAAGGGTTGGTTCTGGGGTCTTTAGTTAGTCAACCATCGATTTGTATAAAGGGACATGGGACACAGTGACCAAGTCGTCCAAATTGCCAGGAATCCCATGATCGTGGGTTCGAATCCCAGTTTGGACAACATCAGACACCTTCTCAACCTCAGGCTTTCCTCATATATGAAGCGACTGCTTTCGTGGTAGTGGAGTGGTAAAGCTTCCATCCTGGAGAGCATCATACCAAAAAAGACATTAAAAGATAATACTTGTTGTTACCCTGCCTGGCGCTCGGCATCGAGGGGCTAAAACAAGGACTGGTCGGCTCGGAGTCAGTATACTGTGGCTGAGTGGGGTATTCATGTTAAACAGCGTCATGGTGTCTCAGTGGGCTAGCACTATAAAATCGGCATTAGTCCGGACTGTTACAAGCAGCCATACATACACACACACACACACACACACACACACGTGCATGCACGTCGCTATGTAAGTGCAATATTCTTGGACGCGACGTTAAACCCCACTTCACTTCACCTTACGACGTGATGTATCTGAAATATTCCTACAAGTTCTCCAGCTGAGACAGTCACTCACCATGAAGAAACAAATTTACCTGAAACACATTTATTAATATTTTATTGAACATACAAAGACGTATATAATTAACTTACATTATTAATAAGTATAATCAAGATTGTTCTCCAGACATGTTGTGACAGTACTTGATGTTACTTGACAGCCTCACCATACAATGTCATACGCAGAACGATATCCATAACCTCTTGCACTAAACAACGATAAAGACTATAATAACACGAGATCACAATCTATGTCACGTGATAGTCATACACTGCTTGTCATACACGGTACGTCAAACACAGTACGATATCCTTTACTTCTTACATAAAACAACGACTAAGACTACAATAACACGCGATCACCAATATATGTCACGTGACAGCCATACACTGCTGGTCATACACGGTACGTCAAACACAGTACGATATCCTTTACTCCTTACATAAAACAACGACTAAGACTATAATAACACGCGATCACCAATATGTGTCACGTGATAGTCATACACTGGTTGTCAAACGCTGTACGATATCCATAACCTCTTGCACTAAACAACGACTAAGACTACAATAACACGCGATCACCAATATATGTCACGTGACAGCCATACACTGCTGGTCACACACGGTACGTCAAACACAGTACCATATCCTTTACTCCTTACATAAAACAACGACTAAGACTATAATAACACGCGATCACCAATATGTGTCACGTGATAGTCATACACTGGTTGTCAAACGCTGTACGATATCCATAACCTCTTGCACTAAACAACGACTAAGACTACAATAACACGCGATCACCAATATATGTCACGTGATAGTCATACACTGCTTGTCAAACGCTGTACGATATCCATAACCTCTTGCACTAAACAACGACTAAGACTACAATAACACGCGATCACCAATATATGTCACGTGATAGTCATACACTGCTTGTCAAACGCTGTACGATATCCATAACCTCTTGCACTAAACAACGACTAAGACTACAATAACACGCGATCACCAATATATGTCACGTGATCGTCATACACTGCTTGTCAAACGCTGTACGATATCCATAACCTCTTGCACTAAACAACGACTAAGACTACAATAACACGCGATCACCAATATATGTCACGTGATCGTCATACACTGCTTGTCATACACAGTACGTCAAACACAGTACGATATCCTTTACTCCTTACATGAAACAACGACTAAGACTATAATAACAGATGATTAGTGTCTCCTACCTGCTGGTCATACACCGAACTATTTGCAAAAAACGACAAGGCAGAAACTATGATGATGTCTGTTACCTGCCCGTCACAAAAGAAGCATTTCAAATTTTACTCCAAACTTAGTGGCAACCATTAAATTGGCATCATGCCGCACATACAACACCTTTGAAAACTCTATGTAATGCATTGGCCTTTGATTACAGACAAAGACATACAATATACCTTAAAGACCTACAAGAAGGTTTCATAACCAAATGGGTGACTGTTCATAGTTTACGGCTACACTTATTCCACTGGGCAGCCACGCGAAACAAGAAAGTTAAACACTCCGTGTTGTCCTTCACGCTTTGCTATCATGGCTGCAGTGTCCCCATCCTTGTCCCTGGCGTTAATGTCTGTCATGTTCTGTGAGAGGATATGCTTCACCATCTCCACACGTCCACGAAGAGTGGCCAGATGAAGGATGTTGTCACCATTGTCATCCGTTAAGGGAGTTTGACCACCTTTACTCACAAGTAGATCAAACACTTGTATATTTCCATTATACGCTGCTCTCATTAATGGTGTTCCTCCGTAATTTCCTCTACGGTTTATGTCCACAAAGTCCTGCGATAGAATATACTTTACCATCTCCGGATGTCCTCCAGATGAGGCATAATGAAGTATGTTGTCACCGTCATCATCCACTTGTGACACATTAGCTCCAAAACTCTCGAGGAACCAAAACATTTCCCTGTGTCCATCAGATGCAGCCTTCATCAGGGGAGTTGATCCGTACTTTCCCCTACTGTTAATATCAAGACTGTATTTAGACAGTAAATACCTCGCCATGCCTAAATGTCCCCCTCTGCAGGCCCAGTGCAGGGTGTTGTCTCCGTAATCATCTACTTGTGACACATTAACTCCCTTACTCACGAGGAACTCAAACACATCTCTGTGTCCATGAGATGCAGCTTTCATCAGGGGAGTTGATCCATATATACCCCTACTATTAATATCAACACTGTATTCAGACAGTAAATACTTCGCCATGCCTAAATGTCCCCCTCTGCAGGCCCAGTGCAGGATGTTGTCTCCGTAATCATCCACTTGGGACACATTTGCTCCCTTACTCACGAGAAACTGAAACACATCTCTGTGTCCATCAGATGCAGCCTTCATCAGGGGAGTTGATCCGTACTTTCCCCTACTGTTAATATCAAGAGTGTATTCAGACAGTAAATACCTCGCCATGCCTAAATGTCCCCCTCTGCAGGCCAAGTGCAGGATGTTGTCTCCGTAATCATCCACCTGTGACACATTAGCTCCCTTACTCACGAGAAACTCAAACACATTTCTGTGCCCATAATATGCAGCCATCATCAGGGGAGTTCTTCCTTTCTTTGCTCTACTGTTAATATCAACACTGTATTGTGTAAGTACATACTTTACCATACCCACATGTCCACCTCTGCAGGCCCAGTGCAGGATGTTGTTGCCGCCATCATCTACTTGTGACACATTAGCTCCCTTACTCACGAGAAACTCAAACACATCTCTGTGTCCATCAGATGCAGCCATCATCAGGGGAGTTCTTCCCTTCTTTGCTCTACTGTTAATGTCAACACTATATTGTTTAAGTACATACCTCACCATATCCATATGTCCACCTCTGCAGGCCCAGTGCAGGATGTTGTTACCATCATCATCTACTTGTGACACATCAGCTCCGTTTCTAATAAGAAAGTCAAATACTCTTCTATGTCCCTTATGTGCCGCCACCATGAGTGGCGTCCTCCCGTGCTTCTCGTCTCTACCGTTGACGTCGACCAAACGCCGGGACAGGATGCGTCTCACTCGGCCCAGGTACCCCTTCCTACAGGCTTCGTGAAGAGGGTTGTTCTCTGAAGTTTTCTGCTTGTCAACTTTATGATGTAGAGATCTCTTTGCGTAGTTCTGCTTCTCATCTGTAGATGTGTATGTTATAATAATACAATGACAGCAATTTGTTAGCATTATTCATTGCAGTAAAATAAATAGCTAGAATAAAAACGGTTTGATAGTTACAGATTGTACCAGTGCTACGTTATATACCCGCATTTTCTGTAACTGCCTGTACATAATGTGCCAGCAAAGATACTCGGTGTGCAGTAGTATACATCTTCCTTAAAATCGAGCCAAGAAGTCACAATATTACAAACATACGTCTGTATGCATTTGAGACTTTCATTAACCGACCAGTGATAGTCATGTTTCTGCAAAGAAGGTCGTGGTGCTTATGTTCCCAACTCCCAAGCCATTCACTCATTGACGTCACCCGACAATTTACAAACAGAGCAAATCATACGGAAATAGTTCCACAACATGTTCGCTACCCGCATATCATGTAACTGCCGGTACATAATGAGCCAGCAAAGGTAATTTGTTTGCAGTGGAAAACATCTCCCTTAGAATCGGGCCTTGAAACCATTATATGGAACATACGTCTATATGCATTTGAGACCGACCAGTGATAGTCATGTTTCTGACAAGGAGGCCATGTTGCTTATGTCCCAAACTCATTGCTTTAATCTGGGTTCTGGTGTCAATGGTAACTACCCCAAAGCCATTAACACATTTACGTCACTTGAAAATTAACAAACAATGCAAACCATAAGGAGTTAGTTCCTCAACAAGTTTAACACAGAGTTCCATGACCAAGTCTAATTTAAATGTCCATGTATACCCCCATATATTGTAAGAGTCACGCTACTTTTCTGAAGGAATGTTACTGGTAATGTTGACTGATTATTGAACATTTTGTCTTTTTCTTTGGTGTCCAAAACGTTCTAAACATATACTAAGACGTTAGCGTTCGTGTCGAAATAGAATTGAGCGAGCTTTATTCCTGCGGATATGACCGTCTTTGCCTTCCTTGATGGTGGTGATCTCAAATGCTTCCACAGTTTTGGTTATTGTTTGGAGCCAAACTGCAAGTTGTGAACACAAGTTTTTATCCATAATCTCCAATCGTTGCAAGAATTTGTCCGAATTGGCCTCAAATAAAAGCTAGATCATCACGAGACACGGTGAGATTTTGATCAGATGGCATACGCTTTGGAACCCAACTACTTGATACTTCCGTCATTGCCAAAGTTTGGAATGTACTCTCTCCTGGGAAATAAGTCTACTTCTCATTATGGGGCACAGTCGTCACGATATCGTAGATTCTCTGGATATATGGTATTGATGAGGTCACAGGTATACTAGGACGGGGATCGATTTCACAGCTCTCCTTGTCGCGCTTACAATTTACTGTTTACCTCTTTATGGTGGCATAGTGGCATCTTTCCCTAGTGTTGTACTCATATCTTCTTGGATGGGCTTTTGGTTTCAAACCCTGACACAGACCCCGACTTATTTTACTGACTTATCGTCACAGCATATCACAGAGGTCATGTTTACTGAACATACGATGTTTGATCGATAAGTTCTGAGCTTCACGTAGGAATTGCACAACAGCGAAATCTTTTGTTGTGGATGTTACAGGATATCACAGACATACAGCTACAGACACTTGAGTAACGCAAGTAAGTTACTCAAGTGTCTGTAGCTGTATGTCTGTGATATCCACAACAAAAGATTTTGCTGTTGTGCAATTCCTACGAGAAGCTAAGAACTTATCGATCAAACCTTGTATGTTCAGTAAACATTACCTCAGAGCAAAAAACAAACAACAGAGAATGTTTTTACCATGACACTGTCAATTATGATTTTCTTATGATAAAAGAACTATGATTTACTCTCTTGTTGTTGAGATAATAACACGTTTAAATCAACAATTTCAGATCTATTTCAAGATCAGACAAATCATTTTTTTTAACTGAAGCTTTTAATTTGATGCAACAATTAGCAAAAATACAAGTGCTCTAATGCAATAATGAGGTAATGAATTTTGCGAACACGTGGTATAATCACTATTTGAGAGTGATTCATAAACACAAGCTAATGATACAGCTGGAGTGTACATCGACTGTTCTTTATTCTCATGAATATGGAAGGGGTTTTGTCGGTTTTTATCTACATCATCGTCCACAGCTGATTGACGATAATGCTGATTTGACTAAATATCTACCCACTGACATTTTGTGGCAAACTTTGACCTCGATTCCTCTCGGGGTAACGTATAGCTCACTCGTCTGAGACGCTGCAACAAGCCAGAATCCAAAGATTGTGTGTTGAAACATCGGTTCGCCTCGATTATATTTCTAGGTTTGTCAGAACAATATCTGTGCTGGTGGCTTTTTTGTGGCTTTTTTTTTATCTCGGATGTTCGGTAAACATATAGCATCCTGTAGGTAGCGTTGATCTCGGATGTAAGGTGAACATGTAGCATCATGTAGTTGGCGTTGATCTCGGATGTAGGGTGAACATGTAGCATCATGTAGTTGGCGTTGATCTCGGATGTAGGGTGAACATGTAGGATCCTGTAGTTACCGTTGATCTCGGATGTAAGGTGAACATGTAGCATCATGTATTTGGCGTTGATCTCGGATGTAAGGTGAACATGTAGGATCCTGTAGTTGGCGTTGATCTCGGATGTAAGGTGAACATGTAGGATCCTGTAGTTACCGTTGATCTCGGATGTAAGGTGAACATATAGCATCATGTAGTTGGCGTTGATCTCGGATGTAGGGAAAACATGCAGCATCCTGCAGTTAGCGTTGATCTCGGATGTAGGGTAAACATGTAGCATCCTGCAGTTGGCGTTGATCTCCGATGTAGGGTAAACATGTAGGATCCTGTAGTTAGCGTTGATCTCCGATGTAGGGTGAACATGTAGCATCAAGTAGTTCGGGTTGATCTCGGATGTAAGGTGAACATGTAGGATCCTGTAGTTGGCGTTGATCTCGGATGTAGGGAAAACATGTAGGATCCTGTAGTTGGCGTTGATCTCGGATGTAGGGAAAACATGTAGGATCCTGTAGTTAGCGTTGATCTCCGATGTAGGGTAAACATGTAGGATCCTGTAGTTAGCGTTGATCTCCGATGTAGGGTGAACATGTAGCATCAAGTAGTTCGCGTTGATCTCGGATGTAAGGTGAACATGTAGGATCCTGTAGTTACCGTTGATCTCAGATGTAAGGTGAACATATAGCATCCTGTAGTTAGCGTTGATCTCGGATGTAGGGAAAACATGTAGCATCCTGTAGTTAACGTTGATCTCGGATGTAAGGAAAACATATAGCAACGTGTAGTTAGCGTTGATCTCGTATGTAGGGTGAACATGTAGCATCAAGTAGTTCGCGTTGATCTCGTATGTAGGGTGAACATGTAGGATCCTGTAGTTGGCTTTGATCTCGGATGTAGGGTGAACATATAGGATCCTGTAGTTGGCTTTGATCTCGGATGGAAGGTGAACATGTAGGATCCTGTAGTTGGCGTTGATCTCGGATGTAGAGGGAACATATAGAATCCTGTAGTTAGCGTTGATCTCGGATGTAGAGGGAACATATAGGATCCTGTAGTTAGCGTTGATCTCGTATGTAGGGTGAACATATAGAATCCTGTAGTTAGCGTTGATCTCGGATGTAGGGTGATCATATAGGATCCTGTAGTTGGCGTTGATCTCGGATGGAAGGTGAACATATAGGATCCTGTAGTTACCGTTGATCTCCGATGTAGGGTGAACATATAGAATCCTGTAGTTAGCGTTGATCTCGGATGTAGGGTGAACATGTAGCATCATGTAGTTGGCGTTGATCTCGGATGTAGGGTGAACATGTAGGATCCTGTAGTTACCGTTGATCTCGGATGTAAGGTGAACATGTAGCATCATGTATTTGGCGTTGATCTCGGATGTAAGGTGAACATGTAGGATCCTGTAGTTGGCGTTGATCTCGGATGTAAGGTGAACATGTAGGATCCTGTAGTTACCGTTGATTTCGGATGTAAGGTGAACATATAGCATCATGTAGTTGGCGTTGATCTCGGATGTAGGGAAAACATGCAGCATCCTGCAGTTAGCGTTGATCTCGGATGTAGGGTAAACATGTAGCATCCTGCAGTTGGCGTTGATCTCCGATGTAGGGTAAACATGTAGGATCCTGTAGTTAGCGTTGATCTCCGATGTAGGGTGAACATGTAGCATCAAGTAGTTCGGGTTGATCTCGGATGTAAGGTGAACATGTAGGATCCTGTAGTTGGCGTTGATCTCGGATGTAGGGAAAACATGTAGGATCCTGTAGTTGGCGTTGATCTCGGATGTAGGGAAAACATGTAGGATCCTGTAGTTAGCGTTGATCTCCGATGTAGGGTAAACATGTAGGATCCTGTAGTTAGCGTTGATCTCCGATGTAGGGTGAACATGTAGCATCAAGTAGTTCGCGTTGATCTCGGATGTAAGGTGAACATGTAGGATCCTGTAGTTACCGTTGATCTCAGATGTAAGGTGAACATATAGCATCCTGTAGTTAGCGTTGATCTCGGATGTAGGGAAAACATGTAGCATCCTGTAGTTAACGTTGATCTCGGATGTAAGGAAAACATATAGCAACGTGTAGTTAGCGTTGATCTCGTATGTAGGGTGAACATGTAGCATCAAGTAGTTCGCGTTGATCTCGTATGTAGGGTGAACATGTAGGATCCTGTAGTTGGCTTTGATCTCGGATGTAGGGTGAACATATAGGATCCTGTAGTTGGCTTTGATCTCGGATGGAAGGTGAACATGTAGGATCCTGTAGTTGGCGTTGATCTCGGATGTAGAGGGAACATATAGAATCCTGTAGTTAGCGTTGATCTCGGATGTAGAGGGAACATATAGGATCCTGTAGTTAGCGTTGATCTCGTATGTAGGGTGAACATATAGAATCCTGTAGTTAGCGTTGATCTCGGATGTAGGGTGATCATATAGGATCCTGTAGTTGGCGTTGATCTCGGATGGAAGGTGAACATATAGGATCCTGTAGTTACCGTTGATCTCCGATGTAGGGTGAACATATAGAATCCTGTAGTTAGCGTTGATCTCGGATGTAGGG